TTTCTCTCCCTTTTTTTGTTCTGCCAAAAAACAATTTAGGTGGGTGGCTGAGGAAGGAGAATGAGGGGAGGCTGTGGTGTGAGATGTGCTGGGTTCCAGTGATTCAAGTCAGCACTGGTGCATCCGTCCGTTACCAACTGAGCCAAGGCCACCGACAGGGAGAGGCCCAACCTCTGCTGAGCTGTGGTGTAACCACGGAGGAAAGACATCTCACTGCCAAGCAGCTTTGGGGCATGCAGACATGCCATCCTTCAGCACCTCTTACCTACCTGCAGGCTTTCTGGCTCCCACCATCAATGGGAATCATTTCTTAAAGAACACACACACTTACTCAGGCATGCATGCTGCATACACAAGGGTTCTCAAAAGCTAGCTCTTATACTTCACATAGGAGCTCTGGTAGCATAGTGCCTAAGGCACTTGACTGCTAACCAGAAGGCTGGCAGTTCAAACCCACCAGCCACCCCTCAGAAGGAAGGTTGGGCAATCTACTTCTGTAGTGATACCACCTCAGAAACTGAAGGAGGGGTCGCTATGAGTTGAGTCCAACTCAACAGCAAACAACAACATACTTCACATGCAGGATGTCCTCATAGAGGACAGATGTAGAGCCAAGTTGGATAGAAGCTATACCAAAAAGTCCCCGGTGTCTTCATTTTATTCCTTTTTTTGTTTTGCTGAAAATATACACTACAGAGTAGACACTGTTTACCAATCTTTCCACATGCAGTTCATTGACAGTGGTTACTTACTTCCCATTGTGTCACTGTCATCTACCCCATTGTTTCACCATCATTAATGTCTACTCTCTTCCCCTTAAAGTTCTTAATCCGTGCATTAGAGTTACTGTTGTCATTGCAGTCTCACGTAGGGATGTCATTCGGCATGCATCCCTTGTCTATTGAGCTAAATTTTAATGAACGTTTCATTCTTTTTCTCTTTTTTTAACTGTTTTTTCACTATTTTACATGCACGCTCAGGATTGACCGTGGTGGGAGTGTTGGCATCTAAAGCTCTCTGGAACTGGAGGGGGGTGTGGAAGGGACTGAAGGGTCCTGCTCACGTTCAGGTTTGGCCCGTGTCTAAAGGCCATAAGTGTCACTCTTCTTTTATCAAATGAAGAAAATCAGGAGCTTGAGGTCTCTTGGCAGGAGAAGCAGTTTGCACTGGACTAAAGAACAACACAGCATCAGGATTGGAGGAAGACTCATTAACAACCTGCGATGTGTAGATGACACAACCTTGGTTGCTGAAAGTGAGGATTACTTGAAGCATTTACTGATGAAAGATTGAAGACTACAGTCTGTAGTATGGATTACACCTCAACATAAAGAAAATGAATATCCTCACAACTGGCCAATAAATAGCATCATGATGAATGGAGAAAAGATTGAAGTTGTCAAAGATTCAATATTACTTAGTTCCATAATCAAAAACAATGGGAGCACCAGTCAAGAAATCAGATGACATATTGCACCAGGCAAATCTATTGCAAAAGACATTTGTAAAGTGCTGAAGGGCAAAGATATCTCTTTGAAGACTAAGGTGGGCCTCACTCAAGCCAAGCCTCTGGGTGGATTTGAAACTCCAACCTTTCCATTAGCAGCCAAGCATATTAATCATCCATTTGACTCATCCAGGGACTCTTTCCCTTATTGTACTAAGAAAAACAAAGAAACAAAAAACCTTCCAATTTTAGAGTTTTCACAAGGAAATTTTCCACAGTCCAGTCCAGGGTCAGGGACTTTAAAGGTCACTTTTGTGGAACACCTGCTACGTAACGATGGGGCAGTAGTTTCTCTGGGTATATTAATGGTGTCAGTGTGGCAACAACCCTTAAAGGTGGCTTTCATTATCTCCATGTGAGAGATGAGCTGATTGGGAGCAAGATGCTAAATAATTGGTCCAAGACATTGATTTTTCAGAAGCAAACCTGTAGTCCAGGTCTGACTCCAGCTTGTTGGAAGACAAAACTCCTCCCAGTTCTGTCATGGCCACAGGCCGTAAGTAAAGTAGAAAAGAAGGCTTCTGGTTGGTTCTCCAATATTGACACCAGCCCAGGCCAGAGGTCTATGGGGGTTATTTTTTAACAACCTCTGAAATTGTGTAATGGGCTTTTTCTACCTTAAAACTCAAAACCAAACCAGTGTCATTTACATCGGTTCTGACTCATGGTATGTAAGGGTAGACTGTGCTCTGTATGGTTCTCAATGGCTGACTTCCCACAAGCAGTCACCAGGCCTTTCTTCTGTGGTGCCTCTGAGTGGGTTCAAACCACGATCTGTTGGTTAGTAGCACTGTTAACTGAGCTACCCAGGGACTCCTTTTCTATCAGGTTGCATTAAATTAAGACATATGGGAGGGGGGTACAGGGCTGAGCCCGTGAGGACTCTGAGGGCTGGTTTTGACTGATGCCTTTGGAAAAGGACCTTCCCAGGGTCTAGCTACAAGAGCGTGGGGATGGCCTGGGATATTGGTTAGCTCTTCTGAGGGGAGGGGAAAAGGCATCATCCCCTGGATGCCATCTTACTCTGGTATGGGATCTGTGACATGTCTCAAATTTGCCAAGCATGGTCTCAATCATTGGAATGTAAGTGCCATGAGGACAGACATTGTTTTCTTTTTTGTTGCTCAGCTGCTAACACTGAAAGGTCAGCAGTTCTAACCTACCAGGCACCTTGTGGGAGAAAGATGTGGCAGTCTGCTTCCATAACCATTACAGCCTTGGAAACCCAAGGAGGCAGTTCTACCCTGTTCTATAGGGTTGCTATGAGAAGGAGCTCTGGTAGCATAGTGCCTAAGGCACTTGACTGCTCACCAGAAGGCTGGCGGTTCAAACCCACCAGCCACTCCTCGGAAGGAAAGTTGGGCAATCCTACTTCCGTAGTGATACTGCCTCGGAAACCCAAGGAGGGGTCGCTATGAGTCGGGGCCGACTTGACGGCAAAACAACAACAACAACAACATGAGTCAGAATTGAATCAAAAGCAATAGGTATTTTTCCTTTTATTTTCAGCCCCTCAAACAGTGCCTGACATGTGCTAAGAGCTCATAGAGGGCATTAAGTCAGCTCATTCATTTCAGGGCATTCACTCTGACTCTGACTCTGAATGACTATCCCCAGTCACTTACTTGATTCTGCACTTCATTCAGGTCTAGGCTCAACAGTCACCTCCCCAGGAAGGCCTCCTCCGACCTCCTCATCTGAAGCTGGCTACTTTCCATCACTTCTAACCCCTTCCCCTGCTGGATTCTCCTTCTTGACCTCTTGCACATCTGTGAGCCTGTCACTCCCCTCACTGGTATGTTCCATGAGGCACAGCATCCATCTCTGTGCACTGCCATATCTCCAGCACCTAGAACAGAACTTGGCAAAGAGTGGGCACCGATAAATGTCTGCTGAATGAATGAGTAACTGCACACATAACACACAGAAGGAACTTACTACAGTGCCTGGCACAGAGTAGGGGATAAACGTTGCCTACTTTGATGAGGATGATGTTTAAATTGGTGATGATGATGATATCCAATGTTACTCTGAGGGTGTCACACTCTGGGTTTGCCATTGACAACCTTCAGTGGACTTCCTGCTAAACTGATGAGTGTAAACAACTTCCCTTCCCTCTTACATTTCATTCTCTCCTGCACTTGGACACCAAAGAGTAGTGTTCCTATCAATTAATGCTCCTCACACTTCCTGCTTTGTGAAATTGTGACAAGGAATTGGGGGCAGTTTATCTTTCAGGAGATTTGGTGCAATTTTTTAAGCTGATCTGTACAAATAAGGCCTGCCAGGCCAAGTAGACAAGACAAACTTTGGGGCTCAATCCTCTTTTGCCTTCATCTCCCAGGGATCCCCTCTCATTCTCCAATGCATTGAGCACACTTTCATATCCTTACTTCATACTAAGGTGTAAATGACTAACAACATTCTCATCCCTGCATCCCACTTGCATTGTTGTCGTCGTTATGTGCCGTGGAGTTGGACCTGATTCATAGCGACCCCTCCTTGGGTTTCCGAGGCAGTATCAATACGGAAGTAGATTGTCCCATCTTCCTTCTGAGGAGTGGCTGGGGGGTTTGAACCACCAGTCTTCTGGTTAGCCATCAAGTGCCTTAGGCACTACACTACCAGAGCTCCCCCACTTGCATTACAGCTACCTAATTCCTATCAATTTCCAGATCTCGTGTCTTTGTTTTTGCACATGCTGCCCTCTGTGTCTAATGTTCTCATTCTACCCCATTTCCCACCTTGAGAACTCTTACCTTCTCTTCAAAATCCAGCTCTAATATCACCTCCTCTGTGAAGCCCAGTCCCAGGTCTTAGAGCAGTTTCTAGTTTCTGCCTCCTCTCTATGGTTTTCCATTCCACTTTTCTCCCCCTACCACAGGGCACTGTACTTACCCAGGCCGCTCTCCCTCCAGGCCAGAAAGGAGGTCCTCCAGGTCAGGGTCCCTGCATTTGGAGGGGCAATAGCAAGCTAAGCATTAAGTACCACAGCCTAATTAATGAAATGATAAAGATAGGAATTTTGGAATTGCTTGTTAGGGGTTGACAAGATGGTGGGGTGGGGGCAAGAAGCCCTTCCTTTTTTTTTTCTTCCCACTGTGAGGGCCTGTTTGTCATGAGCTCTAAGTTCATTTGGAACCAGACACAGAAACCAAACAATGGCGGAAGGTATTTCTGAGAAACGCCTAGAGCTTTATTATCTGTTATTTCAGCAGAAAGTATATTACACTGAAATCATCTCTCTGGCAAGTTCAGCTCAAAGACAGGCCTTCCCCGCTCATACAAAGCATTATGGGTCTCGGAAACATATAAATCTCACATCCAAGGGAGTAGGTACAAAGCACTTGCCAAAACACAAAAGCGAATACAACCAAACCGGTTTAAATACTCGCAGCACTCCCACAGCATAAAAGTTCATAGCTTGAGGGATTTGGAGAACTTTACTGCACTGCTCCGGAGGGACAGACTCCGTTCTCTCTGCCCTCATTCATTAGCATGGTTTGTCCTGAAACATGGCGAGGAAGAATTTGCAAAAGGTGCCCCAGGACTCCCCGCAGTAGTCCTCAGCCAATTTCCTCTGGTACTGGAGGTCGGGGTCTTGCTCACACTCGGGACCACTGATGCCCGTGTTCTGCTGTCGGGCTCCTGCTGGGGCGGTCGCCTTGACCAAAGTTGGCTTTGGGGGGGTGGTGGTGGTTAGCTTCTTGGCCTCTGTGACCACAGGTGACTGTCCGGACTTCCCTGGGGAGTGTTTATTTTTGATCAGAGTGGAGTTCACCATCTTCAGATGGGCTTCTGGAAACTTCTTTCTGCACAGCTTGGTTTTCAGGACGGTCTTGGAGTCCTCACAGATGTTCGTCTGCCGCACTAGGTCCCGGCCGATTTGTCGCCAGTAGACTCTCTTTTTGCTTGCAAACTCTGGGCACGAGTGCGGATTGCCCGCAAAGAAACAGCTGAATTGCTTTTCCTGTCTGGTGCACGCAACCTTGAGCGTGGCGCCTGCGCCCTGCTCCGCCGCCGCCCACGTACACGCCGCTTGGTCTGGGGTCTGGAAGCGGCCCCCCGCCGGGCGCATGCGCGACTGCCCTCTGTGCCCCGGGCTGTGCGCCTTCTTCCGGTCTTTTTCCTTTTTGCCTTCCGCCAAAAGCACGTGAGCAGCCAGGAGGAAGGAGAACAGGGCGAGTCTCTGGAGCCTCATGGCTTCAGCGTGGCGGGAACCTGTTTGACAAAGGGCAGGTGAGTCAGCGCCCGGCAGCATTTCGGCGATGCAGGGCTGCAGGCTGGCCCTCCTGCCCATCCCGCCACACACCTACCTGCTTCATGAATGAGACGGAGAGCCTCAGGCTCCTGGGAAGACTAGACCAGCAGCCTGCCTACTCCCATTTCCACTTGACTTGGCCTTTGAGTATCACAAACGACTGCGGTTCCTTCCTTCCTACATTCTGTGAGCCTAATTAACTCTCATTCATTCCTCTTTCCTCACTCCTTCTTTCACTTACTCACCAAGCATTATAGGGCACCTACTACATGCCGTGTGCCAGACTAGATATTGAACATACATCTAGCGAATCGGAAAGTCTTAGGTCTTAAGTAACTATGGTGGTGTAATGGTTAGGGCTGCTAACTTAAAGGTTGGTGGTTCAACCCACCAGCTGCTCCATGAAGATTTACGGCCTTGGAGAGCCAGTGGGGGTTGCTGTGAGTCAGAAGCAATTTGATGACAATGAGTTTGTTTTTTGTTTGTTTAGGTCTTAAATGGCTTAGAGGCTACTCTTTGGAAATTCACATCCCAGTGAGTAGGGAGTCGGGCCCAACTCCGCCTGTTACTCTTCCCCTTGGGGTCTCAGTCCCTTTATCTGGAAATGAAGGTGTCAGATGACATAATGACAGGCTGCAGTGTGCCGGGTGTGGCTCTCCCAATTCTGTCTGGGCTCAGGTAAGCCACAATATGAGAAAGGACATGGGAAGTGTCATGAAAGGGACTGCTTGACGCGGATGTTAGACATGGTTGAGGTTTGGACACACTGAGATACAGGGGCAAGCTGGGAGTAAATGAGAGGCTAAGGAAAGGCATGAAGGTGAGAACCTTTTCAGTGTGGGACAAAGTGAGCCAGGGTGAGAGGGGTTACTGTCAACCAGGGCTGTTAGACTACAAGGTTGAAGGCAAGGGCCATGTCTGATTGACATGCTGGAGCCCAGTGCAGGGCATTTGAGAGCCCCAATCAAAACTTACAGAGATAAATCATTGACTAAATAAGATGACATTAAATGCCACTCTGAGCTGTATGAGTTTTATCATGTGGGCGATAAAATATCCACACCTAAAGGGAGAAGGGAAGTATCATTTCACTTTGGCGTAGTGCCTGAGGCATTTGACTGCTAACCAGAGGGCTGGTGGTTCAAACCCACCAGCCACTCCTCCCAGGGAAGATTGGGCAATCTACTTCCGTAGTGATACCACCTCGGAAACCTCAGGAGGGGTCACTGTCAGTAGAATCGACTCGGTGGCAGTGAGTTTGTTTGTTTTATGTACTGAGCAAGAAGTCTTATTAAGCGTTGAGCTGCTAACCTAAGGTCAGTGTCTGAATCCACCTGCCACTCCACAGAGAAAGATGTGGCAGTTGGCTTCCATAAAGAAACCCTGTGGAGCTTTGGAAACCCTCCAGAGCAGTTCTGTTCTGTCCTGTAGAGGCTCTGGGAGTTGGCATCGATTTGACAACAACAGGTTTGGTTTGGGTTTTGTATGTGCTGAGTGGAGTACCTGGGTGCCACAAATGATTGGGCACTCTACTATAACTGAAAGGTTGGCAGTTCAAACCCACCCAGAGCTGCTTTGAAGAAAGTCCCAGTGACCAGCTTCCTAAAGGTCATAGTCTTGAAAATTCAGTGGCACTCTGTTCTACTCTGTAACACAGGGGGTCCCATGCATTGGGATCAACTTGATGGCAATTAGTTTGGCTTGGCTGCTAACCAAAAGGTGAAGGGTTCAAAACTGCCATCCACTCTGTGGGAGGAAGATGTGGCAATCTGCTTCTATAAAGATGACATCCTTGGAAACCCTGTGGGGCGTTCTGCTCTGTCCTATAGAAGTCACTAGGAGTCAAGATTGACTCAGTGGCACACAGCAACAATGACAGCAAAGCACTGGTCCAGCATTTGACTCTCCCACGTTGGATTAATCCACACAAGAACCCTGCCGGGCAGGTATTAATATTAGCAGCCCCAGGTAACAGGTGTGGGAGTTGAGGCTCAGACAGGTCAGTAAAGATCCCACAGTGGGTAGGTGACGAGGCTGGGATGGGCAGCCTGTCAGCATCTCCCGGGCCTGTTCTGGCACCCCTCTGTGATCACTTCTTGACTTTCACTTTTACTCTGCCCTTTGAAAAATAATTACAACAAATTTAAAAAGCAATTGTGAACCCCATCAGGTTTCACTTGGCATCGTTGATGATTACAACATAGTTCAGATTACACATGGTCCGTTTAAGAACAAAATACAAATCTCGTCTGAAAGTGGGGCAGGTCCAGGAAACGGTCCTGATTGCGTTTCTACCCCGTGTGAATGGCCTCCTCTTGGTAATGGGGGAGGAGGGGGAGCAGTCATGGTAGCATGGTCTCCAGCATTGAAGGGCTGAGGTAGGGGACCAGATATGCCAGATGAAGCCCACTCATGTCCATGGTTTACAGATTCTGCCCCCACAAGTCCCCCGTGGGTTCCAGTCCCAAGGAGTTCAAAGTCCTTGTGTGGAGGGGGGTCAGGTAATGAATCTATTAAGAGGTTGAGGCTCTTACCTTGTCCTGAGGCTGTGGGTCCAGTAAATCCCAGAAGCTGGAGTGAATGTGCAGGCTGGCAGCAGATGCAAGGAAGACTGTTTGAAAGTGCAAGTTGACCAAGCTCTTACAACACCACATACCTGTCGAGTTTTATTCATACTCCTCCCAGCCACACCTCCTCTGCAGTTTCCTCCAGAGAACATGCTGGGTCAAATGCTCCAGGATGGGCTTACCTGTGAGACTCCAAACCTGCTTCCTGGAGCCCTTCCCTTTGATGCCGCAGCCACGATAGGTACACAGCTCAGCTTTGCAGAGAACCCCTTTGCAGGGGTGGGGATCCCAGCAATGCTATCCAGGGGGCATGATAACAAGGATTATGATCTTAATCATAGCTGCCGAACTCCATGTGGGGCCCGTTTCTCTCTCCCCTACCGCTTCTCACATCCAGTCCACCAGGAGGTGTAGTTAGGATTCTTCTCATTCCGTAGATGGAGAACTTGGAGTGCAGAGATACCCCCCCTGTTTGTGTCAGGTCACAGACCTAGCAGAGGAGAAGCCCAGACTTCAAACCCAGGGCTCTCTACACCCATGGTCTGACCTTGTCCTACCTCCTTTCCTCATTAAACATTTGGGGAATGAATAACTGAAGTTGAGAAAGCCATCTTGGGTTCTGAGTGGTCGTTTTGACTGGGCTATCTGAAGTTACTGGTTTGAACAGAGGAGTCCCCAGGCCCCGAAGGTCTGGCAACAAGGGAATTCTTTTCTTTTTTTTTTTTAATTTTTATTGTGATTTGGGTGAAAGCCACAGAGCAAATTCACTTTCCATACAGCAGCTCACATATACTTTGTCTTATGACATTGACCACAACTTCCCACAATGCAGCAGCTCCCCTCTCAATTCCAGACCTGAAGGGCAGCTCAGGGCCATAGTCTCAGTGGTTCCACCAGGCTCTATCAGACCAGCAAACCTGGTCCCTTCTTTTCTTTTAATTATTTCGAGTTTTATTCCACATTGTTTTCCCACTCTATCCAGGATCTCCTACATAGATCCCTGCAACGAGGGAATTCTTGATCTGAGGACTTCCCTTGAAAATACTCACCTTCAGATCACATGAGGGACATCAGTCAGGACAGCCTGCTATAGGTAATGTCTCAGTGCCAGAAAGATCTGGGTAGGATCCCACTTACAGCATTTGTTTAGCTGTGTGATGTTTTGCAAATCACTTAACTTCTCTGAGCCTCCATTTCCTCAGCTACAAATTGTTGATCTTTAAGATTGCAACTAAGTGTTCTAATCAGGCTGAGCTGAATACATTTGTTTATAGCAGAGTCTTAAGTTGTATTCTTTAAACAAACATGTGCCCTCTATATACCAGACATGTAGAAAGAGACACACTTCCACAAAGATGTGGGCCTCACTCTATTTTGTCATCTCACTGTTCATGGATATTTGGGCATAAGAAAGTGTTTATTCTTCTTTACTCACCTATTAGAAAAATAATAGCAAAATGTGATAATAAATGATAACTAACACCTAGGTTACCAGGGATGGGAGAGGAGGGGAAGGGGAAGAAAATAGATGGATAATTAAGAGATAGGTTTGATGTGGGTGAAAGCATTTAAAATAATAATTTAAAATAATTATATACACACACACACACACACATATGTATATGTGTGTGTGTGTATATATATATATATATACATATATATATATATACATGTTTAAAGAAATAAGATTAGCCATTAATTGATAGCTTTTGAAGCTAGGTTCTGGGTAAATGGGGGTTCATTTTAGTACTTTTTGTTTCTGTTTGAAATGTTTTATAATACACTTTTAAAATAAAAAAAAAAGAACCTAGCCCCCCCCACCCACAAAAAAAAAATCTTAACGCCTGGCTTTGGGACAAGCACAGTAGGGAGTGGTGGAAACTATGGCAGACTGGAGAGATCAGATAATCTAAAGGGGAGTCACCACTGGGCTCCGAGAGACTAAGAACATGTGGAGATGGAGGCTCAGTATTGGCAGACTTTCTGATTTTTTAGATGTGGACCTAAATCCAGATTTGTTTATATGAAATTGGGTTGACACCTAATTCAAACTTTGTTAAAAATACTTCAGTAGTCCAACAATACACAGAAGTTGTAACTGCGAATGAATTCCATGCATGATCCATCTACCTGTTGAGAATTCCAAGGTCACAGAGCTATGGATGTTGACTGGTTGATTCAAGGGATCTTTGGATTCTTTCAGAGGTGACTGTTTACTCAGATTCTAAGCAGCTCATAAAGTTATCTCACTTTGGGCTCCATCTCCATTGGCCTTACCACCACCTCACTCAAGCCCTGATCTCCACAAAAGGGCACTGATACTGGGGGAGATTACTTGGACATATTATTGTTGCTTTAGGTACTGTCACGTTGATTCTGGCACATAGCTACCC